CAAGTCGTCTAGCGATGAGTCTCTCCAAGCCTTTTCCGAGGACGGCCAAGAGCGCAATTGGCCTATAGGAGCGCGGGAGTATCTTGTCTCTTTTTCCCGGTTTTGCTAGGATCACGAGAGTTGCTTCTTTAAAACAAGTAGGATACCAACCCTCGCGTATACACCCGCTATAAAGTGAGAGGACAATATCCTCAATAACTGGCCATGCTATTTTTAAAGCAGTCGTAGTAATTCCGTCGGTCCCAGGAGTCGTGTTTCCCGCGGTGAGAACCGAAGACCGTACCTCGTCCTTCGTAACCTGCGGGAAAGGAAGCGTAGCTTGCCTTTATAGGACTGGGCTTTCTATTGGTATGTCCTCGGAGATTACAGCATTTCTAAGGAGGACGCGGGTAAATAAGTCGCACTTCTCTTTTAGTTATGAGACAAGCGTGTCTTAGTTATCTACATCTCGGAGTAGCGGGGTCTGAAAGGATCCTATGGCTTTATGCCAACCGACCATTTCAAATATGTCTTTACTTAAGGAGGCTAAGGAGATCTTGTCTTTCCAAAAGGCATCCTTGGAGCGTTTAAACTCGTAGAGGAAGTCCTGTTTTAGAGCTTCGACCTCCTCTTCTTCCCATTGGCAGTTCACTCCGGCTGTGCGGAGTCTTACTAATATCGCTCGCTTACTCGCATAGGCTCGGTGTTTACGTGTGCAGCTCTCGCTCCAATATGGTCTCCCTGTACCTTTCCCGAGCGTGCGCTTTGTGGAAGCCGTAAGTGCTTTAATAAGACAGTCCGTAAGCTGTTATGCTAGGAGATCTAAAGACTGTGGGTCTTGGATGTTGCTTGCAGTACGGCGCATGGGTTATAAGTTACGTTTAATGATGCCGAGGAAAAGCTCCTCGTCCATCGTGTCGAGCCGAAACCTTCCCGGGGTCTGGCTGGGTGAATCGATCAGGGCCAAGGGGACCCGGGTAAGCAGAGATTCGTGGTCTGATGTCGTGTGTAGTGACGTTTCTATGCTGGTGGAAGCCCCATGGAGGTTGCTGGACGCCCAGCATAAATCTAGGGTGTTGCCGCCTTTGTGCGTGGGTTCACCTATAGGTGACATTAGGACAAGGCTGGCGGCTTCTGCCCATTCTACTAGGTTTTCAGCGTCCGGGGAACTCGTGGCCTCGGGCTGCCACGTCCAATAGTGTAAGTTAAAATCCCCCACAATCAGTACTCGATCCTCAGGTTTGGGTTGCCAGGCCGCTAGGATGTTCCTGAGAGCCTGGCCAGATCGCAAAGAGCCACGAGGGGCGTTATATACGTTAATAACTATAAGGACCTCCTTCGTTCCTAAGAGGAGTTATAAAAAGAGCAGGTCTGTAGATAGATCGGGTAGAGGCCGTATTTATACGCCTCGTACCCCAGTTCCTCTACGGAGGTAGGTAAGTACCCTGGGACGGTCTTCGGTCCAGTTATCTACTGGGGTGAAAGTCTCAAAACCTGGGAAGTGTCTTGTAAGCCTCCTCTCCTCCGAACGGATAGACGGCTCTTGTATTAGGAGTATATCGATCTGGGCTACGTAAGCTAGGTTTAGTACTGTTTCGTAGGCGGATACCCGCCTGCCTACATTCGCTTATATAATTTATAGGGTTTTAGAGGGCTGTATTCTTTTTTTATATTTTATTCGCCGGGGTATAGTCTATCGCTTATTCTTCTTTACGGGAATATCGATACGACTGCTAGGTCGTATTTCTCCATAATCTTTCTCCCTCAGCTCGGATGGCCCGTAGCTGAGCCTTATCCCTCCTCTGGACTACCCCCTTCACCACTTTGGGTTGGATAGGGCAAGTCGCATCGAAGGCGGCGTGAGGCCCGTTACACGACGGGCATTTAAAGGGGCAGTCGCAGCCATCGTGACCCTCAGTGCCGCCGCAGGGTGCCCGGTGTTGATCAGTTGTGTAGGAAGGAGAGCTGCACTTGAGGCATCTATTCCTTCTGGTGCACGTTCGTTCGTTATGAAAACCGCCGCAGCGGAGACATTAAGGAGACCTCTTCTCCTTCGGGAACTACAGGTTTACAAAAACGCTGGCCCCCATCAAACGGAGGCGTCTTAGTAGTTGCCTTACGGCTTCCGCCTTAAACCAGGCTATCACCGTGCCTAGCCTTTCGACTTCGTCCTTCCTAGAGAAGTACGCTTTTTCAGGCTTAAGTTTCGTCGAGACCTAGATCTCTTCAAAGAGCTCCTCGGTCGTGATTTCCAGCTCAGTATTGGTTACTAGACAATGCCTAGTATAAGGGACGTTTACGATATAGGCTCGGATCCAGGTATCGCGTTACTCGATCGCTTACGCTTAGAGAAGGGCAGCGATCTATTCTCTATTCTCTAGCAGGACTTTTGCACCATCCATTAACGAAGGTAGGAGTACTAATCCTATCTTAACATAGTCGATCCCCTTAAGGGCTTCTCGGGCTTAGGGACTTAGCCTTTCCCGAATAAAGATATATATATCGTAGGCTTTCTCGTTCCGAAGCGGGCTTTCAGGCGATAGACGCGCAAAGACGCATAGATCCTTTAAGGCCGCCCGGTTTGTAGCTTGTTTTGCGGCTTGTTTAGCTAGCGTTAGTTTATCCTATCTTCTAGACAGTAGCTAGCTCGCCGCCGCCGCGTATAAACGGACTAGGGGCGGCTAGTTCTGGGTTATGTACGAGGGATGCCCCTAGGAACTCAGGTCAGTCTCGCTAGGCCCTATGCCAATAGCGTACATAGACCTTACTAGACCACGTTAATAACGGTTTGAACGCTATTTCTCCTCCTAAAGCTCTCTCTCCAAGGATTCGATCTTCGTCAAACAGTCTTTCAAAAACTGTTCCCTCTCGGCATCCCGACGTAGGAGGTCCTGGACCAGATTCGAAAGCTTATTAATCTCGTCTTTAAGCTCAGAATTGTCCTAGTGGTTAACCTGCTCAACCACTCTGACCTTTACAGTCGGCTTCCGGACTCGTCCCGACCGCCGAAATATACCGGCGTCCCCGTGAACCGTGATCGATGGCCCTATATCTAGGGAGACCGCTATAGTCGTGGAATTCAGCTCGTATAGGCTAATGTTAAGAAATGATAGTGCAGTAGGCCGTAGCCCTCTATAACCTTAACAATTACTGACAGTGGGTACCTTTCGAGGTATATGTTCAGAAGTTCTCACGCCATATATGCTGATGATGATGATGATGATGATGATGTATTTAACGTCTGGTAACAAAAGGACGTGCCGGGCGCTATGCCGACATGGTCTATACTAATCTAAACTATATTACAGGCTACCGTCTTCACCTAACGTTCCTGTTCAATGACTCGGGCAAATTTCGGAAAAGAAATTGGTCTCCTCTATCCATTCGCATAGAAGAGAGGCTCCCTTAGCAGAACCTAACAAGAAATCAATACTTGCTTTGGCCATACGTTGGCGGAGGTAGCGCGGTGTAGCCTTGCGTCCACGCTTGCAGAAGTAGAAATGGACTGGTGTCTTGGGTTTCCCACAGCTGCAGTTGAGCAACGCATCTTGATGAGCGAATCTCTCGTGGTATGCTGCAAAGTCTCCATGATGGGATCTTGCTGCGTATAGCCTTCCTAGTAAGTGCCGAGGGAGGCGGAGTTCGGGCGGCTTGGGGTGAAGAATTATCTCGAGGTCGGCATATTGCCGAGGGCATTGGGACAGCCATTTTCTGGCAAAGGCTTGGAAGGCAGCTGCTTTAGCTTGCCTACGCCATATATGCAGACACAGGAGTCACCCCAACGGAACGGAAGAACTATAGACAAGTCACGTGATGATAAGAAAGGACCGACAGACGATAAGCGGTCCATGATATAGACTGACAGGATAAAGGCGGTCCACCCCTATAGGACCGACAACACGATATCGGTCCCAACCACAAAGGAACTGTTCAGATAGTACACGAGACTTATATACAAGGATGGACTCGAGCTGGGCTCTAGGACAGACTTTCCATAGCTCTTCAGCAATTAACTTCGTATCAGATCTTATGATCGCTTTCAGCTATCTTCCCTGAGAACATCTTTAATAAGACTACGATTGATCACCGAAGCCTTCCCTTACCTTACGACTTACAGACATAGCTTCCCTAAAGCTATCCCCGACTACGAATACTGTTACCAGTTCCGCAGCCTCAACTTCTGCAAACAAACCTCACTACGACTTGCTGGCCGTAACATCTAGGCCTTCCTCCATATAACAGGCTTCTTTTAGAAGATCTGCTTACGGTATTAAAGGCTAGGCCATAATCTAGCCTTATATTAATAAATTACCTCTCTTAAAGAATCATAATTATATTCCGAAATTAGGGAACTAGCGGGAACTAAGGGCGGATAGAACATATAGTAGCTTATGGGTAAGACTTAGAGGACGTTAGGAGGCGGCGTGTACTATAGAGTAGATAGTTTAAGCTTGCGGCCCTCCACGCCATATACCCCCTGGGAGGTCGGCCGCAAGGGCGGTTGCGCCCTTGCCGCCACGGCGTTAAATACTACAACAACAACAACAACAACAACACCAGCTCCAGCGTCATATAGCGGAAGCCTCAACGAAGGTCTTGACGGGAATGACGACTTGAGATATTAGCGAAGATTTCATATTGACATCTCTCACCTAGATAGCCTTCCTTTCGTTTGAAATTTTCGTTTCTCAGCGTGAAGCTCGACTGGGATAGTCTTGGATTGTATTCTTTGCGTTCGTGCTTTCTGTTCCTTTCCTAGCTGACGGTTCGGTTAGAAGCTACGAATGCATCTACTTTACTAGATGGAAAATTCTCTGCATCACAAATACGGGGAGGGAATTCTTCGATAACTAATATGTATTCATGGTCAAGAATCATGCATGACACTACGCCGTTTTCCCTCAAGGTTTCTTAGCCGTAGAAAAGCTCAAACTTAGTAGTAAATCCCGGGTTAGTTGGATTAACATCCTTGATAGGATGCAAAATCATGGGTGGCAAGCACGGCCTGCCATTGGTGATTTCCCAGTCTCGCCCCCCAATATCAGTATCAATATACCCCATCCAATTGTTATATAACCTCGAAGGAGGCTCGGCACGATAGTACCAAGTAATGCCTTGATACCTGCGTTCTCTTCCGTATCCCATTGCACTCCCTTGACCACCACTTTCACCTCTAGGCCCGGGATTGAACCAATGATCAAGGAACTTTCCGTTCCAAGGGCGATCAAACCAAGTAGGATGAGGAGCAAATACTGCTTTCAGCCCATGGAGAAGTGCAACCGTCTGGGGCGTCATTTCCGAGGCGATGTGATTGCCGCGAAGATTCTCAACGTGCATGATATCCAGAAGGCGCTTAGATATACGCGACTGTGTGACGATGGTACACCGCCGGGGTAGTGACGTTGCTGGATGGTGTTGATCTTTATAGCCCCAAATGTGGTCTGCGAAAATCCAGCTACTATTGACAGGGTTGAAGATAGGACCAAGAGTGATAAGATCTGCCTCTTCGTTAACTCCCCAGTCATAAGGTTCATCTCGGGGATCTCCAGTTGGCGGCTTTGGTCCAACTGGATTGATGAAAGGCACGCTTGGTGGACCCCAGACTTGGGCGCCGGTGGTTTGCTTCTCGACATAGTCGCGGAAATCGGTCCAAGTTCCGTGATGGTCAGGAATGTAGTATCGCTCATTACGTTCCCAGAGACCCCTTCGCGGCTGTTTCCTTGCGAATCCTCTCAGACTCTCCAAGAAATCGTAGTTATGCCCAACAACCCTCACATCCATTTCCCAATTCCATATGTAGTCGAATTCGGGATGATCCATGCTGAACTTTTGAACGGATAGCCACTGTGCGTGGTGGACGCTCTTCTCGTCATCTTCGGTAAGAGCTGTATAAATGTCCCATACGACTTGGTCGTTCCAGAGTTTGGTAATGCCATGAAACTCCCGAGGTACGTGTTCATCGAGAACATGTTGATAGGCCGCTTTATCGCCCTTCAAATTGACCGAACGGTCGTGGACGTGTAATAGAAGGAAGACTTGATACTCTCCACCTGGCCGAAGGGACAGTTCAGAAATCAAGGATCTGATAGCTTGCTTGTCGTTTTCTGTATATCGTTTGCCAGTGAAAGTACGAAGGAGAACAGCAGTCCGGGACTCAGTTCCTGCTGATGTTGCTGATAATCTGTTGGAAGCCTCCTCTTCTTCTACTCTCGCTTCTCGCTTCTGAGTATTCCCGGAACTTGCGTAAACGGTGTCGACATATGTATTGGGCTTTCCAGTGCCGAAACGAGCGGCGTTCTGTTTAACGCAGTTATCTTGAAGACTGCCCCAATCAACGCTGTCCCAATCTACTGGGAGGCTGTTCGCTTTGATTTGCAGTGTGTGACCGTAGGGTCCAAGCCTACTTTCGCGTTCATAGCAGAGATTGCCGTCCATGTTGAAGATGTCGAAGCTGCCGAAGGACGGCTTTGGAAACTTGACAGGCCGGCCCTTGAAAACAAGCAAATCCTCCACAAGCTCCCCACTAGCACCGACACATGGCACATATGGGCGGTGTTTCTCCTTTTTCCAATCTTCTCCGTTATACTGGGGATAAGGATTGAAATGAACCGGTCGGTGATTCGAATAAGGCTTTTCTTCCTCGCTGGAATCTCGTAGACGCGCCGCATGTAGATCTGTTCTGTTATCTAGATCGACCAAGGAGCTCAGAGTGTTGCCATAAATTGCACCACTACCGGGAAGCCTAGCGTTGAAGTCAAGTCAGCCATGTGTGCAGATACGATGAGGGCAGGTCATTCCTAAGACACTTACTTCTTAGCAGCCTCATACTCCCTGGCGAATTGGTCTCGTAACTTTTGTTCATGTTCTTCCTCCTTATGTTTCCTAGCGTCTTCCTCCTGTTTCTGCTTCTTTTCGGTCTGCTTTACAGCCTCGGCTTCATGCTTGAGGGCCTCTTCTTCCTTTTTGAGTGCCTCCTCCTCCTTCTTCAATGCTTCCGCTTCTTGTTTCAATGCCTCGACTTCCTGTTCCAAACTCTCAGTCTCTTCTTTCGATGGTCCTCCCTTTTGTGGTTGCAGGTTTTCTTCTTTGCTCTTGGATGGATCGATGGGTGCAATAGGCTGCTCGATGGGGGAGACGGGCGGTTGGCCAACAATGCTTTCGGGGGGTTGGTCATGTGTAACGTCATGCCAGGAAACAAACTGGACACTCGATTCGTTTCCCACTTTGAGGCAAAAATGAATTACAATGACAGCTAATGCTAGAAAAAGCAAAGTTCTTGGACGAACTCTTGGGGCGACAAAGCCTCTGGGAAAGTTCTGTTTGACCATTTTCGATCTTGCTGACAACCAAGACTGAGACATGTCAAATCTAATCACGATCGGATGGAGTTGTGCGACCAAAAGCCGATTTGATCGTGGTTGAACTTTCTCACCTCCAACACGGGAATGACATGAGACGAAAGGCTTACAGATGTCAAGAATGGCTATATTAGACTTCACCTTCGAGGCGCCGAGGTTCGTTCGTCCTTCATTCAGTCAACCGAATTGATCCGGCAAGCCCATGTTTAGAGTTTGGACACGAGTCTGAGCAGAAAAGTCTGTTAAATGATGTAAAGCACTAGACGCATCGACAAAGTTTAGTGAGATTGACAGCGACAGTATGAAACTCAATTTCCTTCAGGTCGCAAGGAGATACGACCGCCAGGAGATCCGATGACATCCAATGACTCGAAACGCCCTGGAAAAAGCGTGTCTAACTACGATAATGCTCGCTGATTGCAGCCGCCTCATTCGGCCAGTCCAAAAATACCACATCAAGAAGTAGAAGCCAGTCCATGTTTTCAACGTTGCAGGAGGGACCGACTCTTAGGGGCAAGGGAACAGTCCACTAGGTACCTTACGAACAACAAAAACGCCACTCATACAGAGGTGATTTCTGAGACATGCTATGACTGTATGTTTGAAAGAAAGAGGCACAGAGGTATGTGCCTTGACACTAGCCCTTGATTTTGGATTTCAACTGGATTGTCGGCTTTTTACGCCCTGAATGTCGGCATTTCGAGGTACCTCAGCTCATGAATGCCCACTTGAGCAGTAAGGTTTATTTCATCTAAATGAGAATAAAGATTCATTATAAGTAGACTTTGGGCCAAGAAAGCTTGATAAAAAGTCGCAAATAAGAAAAAGAAACTAGATATTGACTACTTCGTATGGCTTTGGGCATGGCAGCACAGTCAAAACCACGTTTCGAATCTATGCGCTAAAGTGTGTTTGATTCAATTCAATCCAGAGGCCCTTTTGTTCATTAGTTCGAGCTCAACTTCTAGCTATCTTCAACTCCCGACTTTAGGTCTGCAAAAAGGTTGTTGCTGTTGCCGTACTCCTCGTGATGTCCAGAACTTGTTGCCTCCTAAGGTGAAGTCTTAGGAGTGAAAGGCTATCATGCCCAGTACTTATTTCTTTACCGCAGTTCACGATGGCTTCCATGGCCTCAGTTTCTAACTACGTGAAATGCTTAGATTTCGACCTGGGACCCAGGACACCTAGAGTGACCTGAAAAGGGCATCCGGATTATCTGATTAGATAACGCATATTGAAGTGGGCATGTATATATGATTGTCTGAATTGCCAAAAGGCTCTCTGCCGTCATGATATCGGAAAGAACGTACGAGGAAGGGGAGTGTACTAATAAAATATTGAGTGTCATCTGTGGCAGTGATGCTGCATATCTTCTAATACCTTGTCTAAGTAATCGAATGAATTGATGGATTATTGGTATCCCTATTACAGGATACTTGGTTCTTGGAACCATTAGGCTCTGTAAGTGACGAAGGGTTATAAACTACCTTATATATTAATAGATTGTACATAATCTATATCAAGTTGATTCTTACTAGAGGTTAGGTAGGTAAAGTAGTCAAGGTCTAATTAAGGGGCCCGAATGAGCCTCTATTCTGCCCTAACTCGCAGTCGAATGAGACTTCTTATCCGATATAGATAGAAACTTGACTTGCGTAGCTTGAGCGAAGTGATAGAGTGACAAAGCCGCAATTAGTTCATAGTCGATCTATAAAGATGTTGTTGTTGTTGTTGTTCTATTTAACGCCATGGCGGCAAGGGCGCAGCCGCCCTTGCGGCAGACCTCCCGGAGGGTATGTGGCGTGAAGGGTCGCAGGCTCTAGCTATATACTATATAGTACACGCCGTATCCTGACGTCCTCCAAATCTTGCTCGTGAGCTACTATGTGTTCTATCCATCCCTAGTTCCCACTGGTGCCCTAGTTCCGTTATAACCATCTGGTTTCTTAATAGAGGTAGTTTGTCGTTTGGAGGATAGGTTATGACCTATCTCCTAGTGCCGCGGGCAGATCTTCTGGAAGAAGTCTGTCACGCAGAGGAAGGCCTGGAAGCCTTCAGAGTCAGTGATTAGCCCCTTGAAGTAGCGATCGAGGGACCCTATAGGTCCTACGGGCTCCTGGCGGCTGTAGGGGTAGAGGGTGGGCCACTGTTGCCTCCTCAGTAGGGTCTTTCGGCAGTAGACTAGATGGTCTGCCTCCTTAACCCATCCACAGGAGCAGGTGAGTAGTGCTTCTGTGTGGTTAAAGCGTTGGTGATATTGTTTAAAGTCCCCGTGGCCTGACCGTGCCGCGAGGAGGTGATGAAGGGCAGCCCTAGGGAGGCCAAGTTCAGGAGGGCAAGCAAGGGTAGCCTTGAGCCCTAGTTGGGTATAGCGGGGAGTTGCCTCTTGTTTCCACCATCGTCTATATTGGCGTCTTGGCCGCTCTTTAGCAAGCCACTTGATACCTGATAGAGTAGCTAGTTGGCCCCTAAGGACTGGTAGAGTTGTTCCCTCCTTAGCTAGGCTGTCTTAGTTGATTAGACCACAGTTGAGATCCCGATTTCCATGAGCTACTCTATATGCTGATCCGTGACAATAAACACACTGTTATATGTGAGCTGCTAATCTAAGGCTTGCTAGGAATCCTTATCTCTACCCCTGAGATATCCACTGCTATATCTCTTTCGTGACACTAAATATGTGAACTTGGCACCCAACAATAAGGCATCACTATATGTTATATCCTCTTGTGCAAGTTCTGAATGTCCTCCAAACCTCCATGCGTCAAATCCGCACTCGGATAGGAGGGAGATCATCATCCGCCACGGTGAGGCGTCATTATCGACGTCGCATCCTCCACCCCTCACCCCTCTTCCCCCCGGAAAGTCTTAGGAACGAATATGGTCCCCGATGGGAAACACGAGAACATACTATCGATCTATACATGTAGGTACTTGAGTGCGGTGACGGTGACTTGAGAGACGTCCGGAAAAGTAGGCTGCCATCCCGCGAGTAGCTAATAGGACCGATGACGCAACGACCCGGCTTGAGATAATCGAAGAACTGTTCTCTCATGGAGATATGTAGTGAAAGAAGGTGGGATGTGAGTGGTCTCTGTATGCCTCGAATCGACTCAAAGCTTATCGAATTGGCGAGTGAAAGGACTGCTGAGTGTTGGTGATGCCATATGGATATTGGATAGTCAAAACCTCAAGAAGCTGAGCCCACATGATCACCGTGGTCGTTCATGATCTAGGTACGCGAGCATAGTATCATAATGAACCCGAATTGCAGTGATTGGCCAAAGTCTGCGTCGCACTTGTCGCCTCCACGTCAACCTTGGCGCATATCCACATGCAGTGGACTGAGTTGAAAATACTCAGCCAGGCCTGCGTCCTGTCTTCTGCTAACCCCCAGACATGGAGTATCTGGGCAGCTCCTTGAAGCCATGGGGACCATACCCTGTAGCTGCCAGCAGATATCATCTTCGAGTCTTGGTGATACCTCTGCCGTATATTCCGAATATGTGGCGCATTGACACAGAACTGGACCCTATGCAACTATTGCAGTCTTGTAAGTTCCATTGATCTTGTTGTTGACCATCGCCTGGAAGCTTCTGGCACCTCCGGAAGGCAGTATCGTTCGCCGTGTTGTGGGCCTTGAGGAGGATGGAACATAACGAATAACATGACTGAGTCGACGGAGTGTCACGATCTGTCTCCAATGCTGCCTTGACCGAGTTCTTCATGGTCAGATTGCCGGACAAGACTTTGTAGAGACTGGGTGATCTTACCAGCCTGCTACCTTGACCTTAGGCCCAGCAGAGAATAGTCTGTAAGAGCCAAGAGCATTCTTTCTGTGACGCCCGGCTTGTGCCAGATCATGCCTGAAGGAGCCAATCTAGATCCCTGACCGAGCGCCCGAGCCGGCCGGCCGACGACCGCCGCATCGGCCACTCCGACTCGGGGCTAAGACCGACTGGTCTAGACTAGACCACCGTCAGGAAGAGAGTCAAGATAATGGCGATTCAAGGTAAGTGACGGCACGAGAATGGGCCTTCTTGTTGTCTCATCCGGTGGCTGACTCGTTGCCGTGCCCCTCCCCCTTTAACTGGAGAGAGGGGACGCTAGACTTCGGTCGCCGGCCTCTTTTGGCTTTGGGACGTTGCGCATTTCCCAAGATATCGTTTGGTGAAGCTTCCCGTGTACTAAGGAGCATATTAGCTACATGTAGGCGCCCATACAGAAATAACGAATTGTCATTGTCGACTTACTCCTTGTCTTTGAATCTTCGGCGTTTGATCATCTGTAAAGCCTCCTTACGCATGTTGCAAGAAAAGTGCTCATTGAAATCGAGGGTTATGAGTTCCCACATGCAGTGGCGCTTGGTGTGTCGGTAATGATCGAGGAGAAAGAAGAGATACTCTTCCTGATCCTGGCGTCTGGCGTTGGCACTAACGCTGGGTGCGGAACGGTCCGACGCCTGTTGGGTGCTGGCATGACTCGGAGAAAGATAGCCCAAGCAATGAATGCCCATGCGTGAGCAATTCTGGCCTGTCCAGCTTGTCAGACGGAGACTCGGACCACGAAAGCCATTGATCGACAGATAGACGCGACTAATTCAGCGAAATAAAACTTACATGAGGGACGCCCCTCATCACAAGGCATCTTGCGGATCTGACAGGTCTTGCAGCCAGGCTCCGTGTGCTGGGGTCGAGAGGTCTGCAATTGAGGCCTCGTGGTCATGACGACGTGAGAGGGATTCGGACGAGCAACAAAGATCGGTGGCTCCAATGAATCCGAGGTTGGAGAAGCAGGAATGGAACTTGAGGCGGGAAGGTTGAGTGCATCAGCAAGATGGGGGGGCGTAGGGGGGTGACTCGAGCGCGACGAGGACATGTTCACATCGTCATCCGGGTCGCACAGCACGTTCTGTAGGTCCATGACGGAACAGCGGCTGGGCTTGGGGTCGGAACGCGGGGTAACAGTAGCATAGCCATGGCTGGCGCTGCTAATGAAGCTTGAACTACTGTGATTTCTATCGTGGTTGCTGCCGAGGACGCCGAAGGTGGTGGGATGCGAGGGTGTTGGCGACGGCGAGGGGGGGAATCTGAGCGCGTCATGACGGGAGGCTGCAGCGGCAGGAGCCGGCGTGGATGCCGAAGACACAGCCGGACCCGGATCCGGAGCTGGACCGGCAGCCAAGCGGCGGTAGTAGGTTGGCGGTGGCGGTTGGTTGACGGAGAAGGAATAAGGTTCGAGGCGACCGGCAACCTGGGCGGCGTCATGACGCGACGGACGAGCCAGCGACAACGACATGGACGGGACCGAGGGCGGAGGAAGAGGAGGTGGAAGAGCGGGAGGAGGCTGGAGAGTCTCGGAAGGAGAAGAAACAGCAGCGGCATCAGCAGCGGCGGAGATCGGCCGGTTGTCGGCTGCGACGGCGACGGCGTTGGCGTTGGCGTTGGTGTTGGCGGGCATCCGCATCGTGTCTCACTTCCAGTTCCAACAGTCCACGTCCACGTCCACGTCCACGTCCACGTCCGCGTCCACACACTGCACACTTCCGCCAGGTGCGCGCGAGCGGGCGAGTAAGGGAAAACCCAAGGGGGCGGAGACGAGACGGGACGGCTTTTGACACGTGGAGGAGTAGGCTCCAACTTCCAGCCTCTTCCGAGCAAGGCAAAGCAAAGGCAGAGCAAAGCAAAGCAGAGCAAGGCAGAGCAGAACAAAGCAAGGCAAAGCAACGACAATTACCTTGCTGTATCCGTACCCGTACTCGGTACAATAATTAAGCTAAGGTATCCGTAAGCTAAGCGCCCACTCACTCCTTTCGCCCTGGCTGCGCTCGCTTCGCTTCGCCTCGCCTCACCTCCTGTCCAAGTCCAGTCTCCTCTCCTCTCCTTCTCTTTTGTGCTCTCTCCTCTTTCTCTCTCCTCCCCATGTGTCTTCCTCAGCAGTAGCCAGTTGCCAGGACTGGACTGGACTCAATTGGATTGGATTGGACTGGGCTGGACTGGACTGGACTGGAGCAATAGACGGAGACATGGGCTTGTCGAATGTGGGCTCGAGGAAAGACTAGGGCCGGAGACTGTGATGAGGGGCGGAGCACCATCATCACCACCACCACCACCACCACCACCAGTTGGCAGCAACGCAGCGTGGCACTGGGCATTTACCTTACAACTTGGGTAGCCGGGCCCGGTGCTGGTACGGATAGACGGTAGAAAACAGGGGCTGTTGGCATCTTTCCAAATGTGCTTCAGTTTCCGTAGCCTGCGAGTCGTGAGCCCGGACGTATTATGACTGGCTATCCGTGCTTAGCTGTCTTGTGCCCTGTTTGGCGGCTAGCTGAGACTGGGCAGTAACATAACAATAAGCAGCCTAACAGGAATAGCAGACATGGATGATGGGCTTGATGGACGATGGATGATGCAGCGTGGCATGACGGCTCACGGCGGTCTGGACGCGTCCTTCTCCATCTCTCCGCTTCCCTACACGAGGTACGTACTTGTTAATTACCCACTCTCGGTCCTAAGGCCAGGGATTTCCCCCAATCACAGCTCGGGCGGTTACAAGCCACCCAATCTGCTGACGAAAACGACATCCCATTGGCTCCCCTAGTTCGGTCCATTTCGGCCAGGTCCGCTCAACGGTTAATTTGCGGCTTCCTGCCGTTGTCACACGGTGCAACCTGATGGGAAGGTATGGGCGGAAAGGTACTCTTCCCATGTACCTACCTCGTGGCAGTACCCATAAGGTACGTATCTCAGGACTAGGTACCTTACGGAGCACAATGTACGGAATACGTGCCGTTCCTCTGAACCCTCCTCCCCATTCTCACACCTCCGCACCACCTCACTTTCCATCGCTTTCTCACTCCCTCACTCTCTCACTCTCTTTCTCACTTTCACTCTCTCTCTCCCTCTCTCATAAGTCACTCTTAGTCACACTCTCATTGGAGACCCGCCCAGTCTTTCTTTCTCTCTCTCTCTCTCTCTCTCTCTCTCTCTCTCTCTCTCTCTCTCCCTCTATCTGTGCCCTCGTGGCCGCCTTCTCCATTCCCTAGGAACCTTTCTCCCCTCTTTCCCATCTGGGGGGTCTTTTTCTTTGTCCTTTTTGACTCGGTGATTTTTACTCACGTGATTTTATTCACAGTCCTGTGTCTCCGCACCAGCCCCTTCCATTCCACAAGGGCAGGGTACCCAAATTGTTAGGTACATCACAGTTACTTGGTCAGGTACCGGGACACAAGGACACGTCAACTAACATTTTACTTTATCCAAGGCTTCTCTCCTCAAGAATGCTTGTCCTCATTATGCGTAGCATGCTCTCTGATGGACGGGTTCTCACCTTTCTCGCACAAGCTTGATCTCCATGACCCCATCATTTCCGAACCAAAATAATGGCACTGCTATGCATGTCCCTTGCACCCAACCATGTATCCTCACTCGATTGAGACCAACAGACATGGCCACTTTTAAGGTTAAATCCTGCTTTCCCCCCTTTGGTAGAACCACACTGGGCGCCCCGCGCATTCGTACTATGACCACATGATGGAAGAACTTTGACACTTGCCTCCAGAATCTTAAGCAGGGCCATGACACCGTAACCCGCTGTTGACATTCAAACCACTGGCATCGGCATCCAGCATCCGCGGTTCACATCGAGATGTACATGCTCGCGTAAATTGTGACCCAGCGGGATGTTATCGACCATTGGTATCCATACTTCCTTCGAGGCTAGAGCTGAATGCTAGGGATGGTCATGAGACTGAGAGCTGTGCAGCTACGACTCTCGTCTAGGTCATGATTGCATGTGTAACCCTAATAATACTCCCCCCATCAATGACGTGTGTCTAATGCACTTCTCATCAAAGGACATGGAGAGGCAGGGCTCGTGCTCCACTTTCCTCAATGGCCGAGTATTACGAGTATCATGACAAAAATGAGGTAGCTCAAGGCTGCCAGCAAATGGTATTAATACTCTCCCAACATCCTTACCAGCTAACGAAACTTTGACCCAAAACTCATGTCCCCGCGACACGATTCATCCTCAATATCGAACCATTGAGATTTAGATAATCAGATCCCTTGAATCGCGATGCGATAGAATGACCTTGCCCAATTCTATGGACTGAAATTTCCAATTTCAACCACAAGGTCAGCTAGACTTTGTACTCCATTTTCACAGTCAAGCTACTAGCGAAAGGTTACAAAAGCTGTATGTTATCATTAATTGAGCTGGAGAGATCGATCCCACCTTGGTTGCTCGTAGACTTCGTCACAAAATCAATTTTCACAGTGTATGCCGACCTGCCTACTACTTGATCTCGCATACTTTTGGATGGCCCTACTAGAAAGAAGCTCACTAGACATAGATCAGCTACAAGTTTGCCAAAAAAAAAAAAAAAAACATCAAGCATGAGATATCAAATGCCTCAGTTGACGAATATTCGACTGAGTCTGAGTCGGTGTCATTCTTGAAAGTTGAAATCGCAACAACCACATTCAAGTAACAGTGGACTAGACTAGGTTGAGGCTAAAGCAAAGGTTCGCAGGAAAGAGCAATGCCTTATAGCGCTCTGCCCCAATGTCAATCTTGAAGAGAAAACAAGGATCATGATTCATACTCCAAGTTAAACCACCCATTTAGCTGTTCTGGGAAGTAGACGGAATATGACCGGAAGCACAGCTTTATCTCCCTCAAAAACATTATCTGAGACTGTACTTCAGCACACCAGTTGCACCTGCAGTGTTGTTTCTATGATATGATGTGCCACCGCTTTTGTCAAATGCTCGTCACTTTTTCTGGACCCATGCTCTTCTGAATACCCTTGCTTTCACTCAATTCATTCCCAGATAAAATTTCCGAGACTGCGGCTCTGGCCTCCGTGCCCCGCGATACTGGCTGCACGAACTTTTCGAGAGTATGTTTGTCAAGCTAGACATATGTTAGCTTGTCTTGTGGTATTTGTGATCCTTTGTAGTCCAACTCAATTTCCAAACTGTTCACATATAGCCAAGCATGACAAAGCAGCAGACAATCATGACTATGCACCCTTTTCTCCATTATGGTGCTTCGTCGGCAGAATAAAATACGATACCCCAGAAAGTATAGAGAGTTGTTGTTGTATTTAACGCCGTGGCGGCAAAGGCGCTGCCGCCCTTGCGGCCGACCTCCCGAGGGGTATATGGCATGAAGGGCCGCAGGCTTAAGCTATATACTCTACAGTATACGCCTCTTCCTATCGTCCTCTAAGTCTTGCCCGTGGGCTATTATATATTCTATCCGATCCTAGTTCCCGCTAGTTCCCTGGTTCCGTTATTACTATCTACCTGTTACGCCCGCCGCAACTTGTCACTGTGGGCGCGTAGCTATATAATGCAGAACAAGGGACAATGATGCCGGAGTCATCATTATCGAAGCTTTTGCTTTGTGCCACAGTTGGTTGCCTTGTCCAGCTCGTAACATACTACTACTAAAGCGTCTAAATTCTCCGGGTCGGGCTTTTGCTCCGTTAATTGCCTTCAATACACCGTACTGATACCACCCCTTCTAATTATTATCGTTGCGGTCTGAGTATACTTTCTTGTATTTGGCCAAAGGCGGGATTCATCGTTCTTGAACTGTCAGAGCCCTCCCGGATAGGGGCTAGTAAGAGGTAGTAAGGAGTCCAAGCAACAAAGGAACAGCTCAGATATATATACAGCGCAGGGAGTACACGTCGAGGGAGGAGCAGACTTCAGTAATTCATCATTCTACCCCTAACTGCAGTTGGCCTCTAAGAGCTTCCACCCTGTGTCAACATCCCAACTTGACATGAACCCTCTGCTCTGTGGGCCATCGTACCTTATGAAGCCAAGATCTATTTTGCCAGTCAATCGCCAAGACGCTATGGGCTTTCGCCCGATGCACTTGACAGTTATTCCGCCATCCCGTCTGGAATGTTGTGTTGTCACCAGAAGTGCAATGTTCCCTGGGCTGAGCTTTCAGCCAAGGTGCTCGGCAGGATTTTGTGGAATGACTGCTGGGGACTTCTTAGGTAGCCATCAACAAAAAGCGCGGATCGTAGGGCCATCAAGATTCAAGGGAGTGCAGCTGGAATTGATGATTCAATCTCTGACAGCCCTCGTATCTTCCTACACGTCATGGCCATCCTTGATGGTGACTGGTTCAAGTAGAATGTATTGATCTACGACTACATTTTGTATCAAGCAATGAAGGTGTTGCGGAGAAGATTCCTGGTGACATCCAGGCGTGTGCTTGTTGGCTGGAAATACCGGATCGACCCCAAGACGCGTCCTCCGTACCCATGCCCACGGAGAGTTAAGCATTAAGCATGCCTCTGTCCCACCACGCGGGCCGTCGCGGCTGCTGGTGTCAGGTCTCACAGCCTTAGTTCGAATCGAGATAGGTACTAAGTAGTGAGTGCTCTACTGTCTCCCACATGCAGGATACTACAAGATCGTTAGATACTGAGACAACTTGAGAAGGGAGGAGCACATTCGGGCGAAGCCCCGCTTCCCCGGCTACACGCCCCGCGTTGCCCCATCCACCCACGCCGTCTGGGAGTCGCAGACCCGCGTCCCGTGGGACCAGACCTTTTAGATTTGCTGCATGTAATACATGTAAAGTATGGTCAAAATTATGGGTGTTGAGATAAGCTACGAGGTAGCAGATGGCTGAACATAGCATGGTTTTGTCGGTCTATCCAGGGAGCGGTTTTCCATCGCTCCCACCTGCAGGGATCAGTTTCTTCTCGCCTCGTTGTCTCAGAAATGACCAAGGTAAACCAATTGATTCAAGAGTACCGGGGAGGAAGGGACTTAACACCTTGGAGTGAAGAAATGTCAAGTGTTTATTCAATGTGACACCCGCCTGATCTCAGCTGTCTTCACTTTTCTATTACCTAGAGGAACCGGGTTCGCGACGCCAAAGTACGACTTGGGCATTCGCAAGCCGTTTCATCCAAAGATCTGTGTGGAATGTGACGTTGTAAGACTTGGTGATGGAATCGAAGAGATTTCCATAGCGGAGATGAACAGCCTCCTTTAACTTCGTGCCATTTGGGGTCTCGGAAGGTAACATGGAAGGTCTCGCACACAGTGAGATTCACATATAAATTGTCATCTGCGTCCCCTCAAATAATGTTTACCAATGTGTTCCTTTATAACAACGTCCGCAGTATTCCGCAGTGCCATACCATCTCAGCTTTCGATCCCAAGTTCAAGCCTAACCTGATATTTTCTACTTCATTCTTCTAAGCATGAAGTCCTCAGCCTATTTCGTCATTGTCGCAGCGACTTTTGGCCTTGCCGAGGCCCAGTGCAATGCAGTAAGTCTAAATTTCATCCGTTCTCTATGAGGATGCTGCTAACCCTCGATGTAGAACAACTGTGCTCGAGCCGTCACGGGAACTCGTCTTGGTCCCGCAACTCAAGCGGTCCGTCGAGCCGACTGCTCCTCATACCAGAGGACTACCATCACCCGCTATGAACAGACCGCATCTATTACCGTCACCTCTCCCGCCTCTTTTGATGTCACCCGCACTTTGGCATCTTCGACTGTAACCATTACAACCACCGTCCCGCTAATTATTATCATCGATCCCGTCCAGCCTTCGTTCTCTATTGATCTCCCTGAGATTCCCATTATCACTAGCCCCTCAGGCTTCAGACGTCGTGACCTTGAGGGTCGTCAATTAGTGTCTTCGTCAGCTTTCGCCCCTATTCCGGCATATGCTTCGGCATGCAGCGGTGCGTCGGCCTACCGAAGTGCCTGTTCATGCTGGGGCATCACGCCTAGCTTCGTGACGGCTAGCGTGCCGGGCACCACGACTCTGACCATTACTTCGCTCTATGTCGATACTGTTACCGTGATTGGAACTGATGTCACCACTACGACTGTCCGCATTACATCTTCGCCTTCTTTTTCAAGCTCTTTAATCTTCCAAACTGCTTCAAGCACCACCGAAGAAACATCTTCAACACAGGAACCATCTCTTTCCGAAACCGACGGCCCTTCGTCCAGCACCATTGTAGAGCCTTCTGTCACTTCCATCACCAGGCCCTCCACCACCTCTACAGACGAGCCTTCCGTCACAGCGACAGAGGAATCTTCCACCGCCTCTACAGATGAGCCTTCTGTCACAGCCACCGACGAGCCCTCTGCCACTGGAA